ATAGTAAGTAGTACTTTTTGACGAATGCAATGACAAGGCAGCTGTCTGAGTTTCCTGGAGACAGCAAAGTATATCAATAAACAGCGGGCGTCGGTGGTGTAGTGGTTAACATAGTTGCCTTCCAAGCAATTGTCCCGGGTTCGATTCCCGGCCGACGCACATTTCTTTTATATGTATATACAGTACTTAGATTTTCGACAAATTCATATTGCCTATAAAACTTGTTTCCCTTACGATTTTTCACATGGGTATTCTAAAATTACGATATTAACGAACGGACAACAATACCATCTCATCATCCAAATCACCTCAAGGCAGGGAAAGAGGGTTATGCTGTCAATTTCACATAAATCGAGTCTCCTTATTAAATTTGTTCAGGTCTTTTTTTTCTGAGTTTCTAGGTGGCTCGGTGGCTCAAGGTTTTCAACCCAATTTGTTGATTTCAACGAATTACGCATCCGCGAATCATAAGTTCCTACTGCACCCAGACTATGAGGGCGCTCGCCGGGTGAATGTCAGAGTTAGAAATTACTTGCGAGTTGAGAACAGACGTCAACCGTGTCCTGATTGGCCAAACAGGCACGTGACAATGATAGGTGGATGGAAGGCGATACATGTGCTGTGCTGCTTGTTTGTTTTGACTGGCTATGATATGGAAACCACAGCACAGAAACTGTTCGAAAGCAACAATCATTCATTTCATTTATTTCAGCAATTAAACATTACAAACAATAATACAAAATGACAAGACAATACCCTTGTCATGCCATAAAAAAAACACAACTTGTTTTTTTTTTTACCGAAATGAACTTATCGTGTCAACAGTAGTTTTTAAACTTATCACGATTTAATAATAAACAAATAAATGAATTACTACGCTTTATTCGTATATTTTTTTAACAAGTAAAAAGAATTACAGTATACAGGAGAGGAAAAATAGTCTTTCCATGACGTGGTTGGTAGAGTGCGTAGTCCAACAGCAAAAGACATACAACCTAAGAGGCCGGGCCTAAACGTTTTATGATGGGGTTGCAGATAGAGAAACATCTTCGACTTGGTGATTTAAAAATAATAAATTTTAAAAAAATTTAGAATGATAAATAATCTAGGCCTATTTTGGGCCTATCGTACTATATTCAAAAAAGCAATCTTTTAAAAATTAATTTATAAAATTAATTAATATATTATTAATCACATCATTAATATATTATTATAAACATCGTAACTTTCAGTCTAAAGTGCATTTGATTTTAATTTGTTTATAATTTGCGCTATATATTCTCAATTATTATTATTGTTATTATTAATTATTATTATTATTGTTATTATCATCATCATTATTATTATTATCATTATTATTATTATTATTATTATTATTATTATTATTATTATTATAGAGGGGGGCTGGGGCTATAGCCCCCCCGTCGGGGAAGCATAGCCCCCCCCCCCCCATCGGGGAAGACGATCAATTTTGTCGGGGAACAAACAAATAAAAAAAAATATTTACATGTAATATTCGTTTAGCCACCATATCGTTTGTGTTAACTTTTTATCACAACAACCACAATAACAATAATAATAATAATAATAATAATAATAA